TACTTATTGAAATCGCTTCATGTTGAGTGTTTCCCTTGACAAATAAGTAGTGACCATCTTGATCTTTCCTTATCTTAGTTGGTTTAAAGCCTATTGTATCTGCAAATAAAATTGCAACCCCTTCCTTCTTTCTGTTTCCATTTGCCTGCATTATAGATGTCCATCCCTTCAACCCTGAGTCTATTTTTACCCTTTAAAGTAAGATATCTTGTATGCAACAGATATCTGGGCTGAGTTTATGTATCCAGTCAGCCAACCTGTGCTTCTTTAGAGGATAATTTAAGCCATTCGCATTAATTGAGAGGATTGATAAGCATGGTAGTGTTTTGGATGTCATGTTTTTCAAATGTCCAGTGGATATTTTTATTATTTTAACCACTGTGGAAGTTAGGTTTTGTTTGAAAATTTCTGAGTGAGTTTACTTTGGTGTTAGGCTATTGTGCCGATCATTATGGAGGATCAGTCTGAGAATATCCTGGTTTAGTTATGGCAAATTTTTTCAACATGTGTAAGTAAGTAAAGTATTTGATTTCTTGATCACAAATGAAACTAATTTTAGCTGGATGCAGGATCCTGGGCTGAAGGTTGTTTTGTTTTAGGAGATTGAAGGTCAATGACTGTCCTCTTCTGGCTTGAAACATTTTGGCTGAGAGTTCTGCAGTCATTATATTTCTCCCTTTGTAGGTAATGCTGGCTACTTGCAGAATTTTTCTCTTTCATGTTAACTTTGGCAAAATTAATCACAATGTGTCTAGTAGATGCTTTATTTGGATTGAGTCTTGGTGGGGTTGTGAAACTGTGTACTATCTGAATTTCTGTATCTCTTGCAATACTTGGAAAATTCTCCTCCATAATACCTTGGAGTAGAGCATCTGTGCCTTTAGGACTATCTTCTTCTCCGTCAGGAATTCCTATAAGACAAATGTTTGATCTTTTGGAGTGGTCCCTCAAATCTCTCATGGAATGATCAGTTTTTGCTCTCCATTTGCCTGCCTCTTGGAGCGTTTGCCAAGCTATATTTTCAAAGGCATTTTCATCTTCTTTGGGTAGTGAATGGTTTTGCAGACTGGCTAATAAGCACATGTCAGCACAAGTTTCAAGGTTCCTTCTACTCTGAATTTATCTTCCCATGTTTTATTTGATCCTTCTTCTTGTATGTAAAGTTGGATTATTTTTATAAAGCAAGCAGGCAATTTCTCTTGATGTGGATCTTGGGGGAAATAGTATTGAGTGATTATTTCCCCCCATTTTCCATTCCTAAGTAATATGCTTAAGCAACACAGGTGACCCCCTCAGCTGTGGAGGCAGATTATCCAAGTAACTTCTTGACACCTTCTGAGCAGAACTGAGCAGCACACGAAGGAAATGAAGCAGGAAGGCTTTAAAGGGAGAAGAGCCAGGAGGCCTTGGGTGCAAGCCTACAACCTGCTTACCACAGTAGCTCTGTCTCAGTACCTCTCTTGTGTGGTGGTACTGCCATCATTGTTTGCTGAATTGAAATAAATGGACATGTGCTTTGCTTCTTGGGAGATGTTTTCTAGTGAGCACATTGTTAGAAACCTAGGTCCTTCTCATTCAAGTGACAGAGTTTTTCTTAGGGAGAAGAATATTTTCTCCTTTACAGAATTAGGAAGAAAATTGTAGTCCTTCACCAAACGTTGGTTCAACTTTTAGTTCTTAATTTCATTATCTTTTTTTTTAAAAAATTGTTTTTTATATTTTTGTAGAGATGGAGTTTCACTATGTTGTCCAGGCTGGTCTCAAACTCCTGGCCTCAAACAATCCTCTCATCTTGGCCTCCCAAAGTGCAGGGGTTATAGGCATGGGCCACCGTGTCCAGCTCCTTTCATTTTCTTTTAAATTTACAGTATTTGTCTTTCTTTTCCTACATTACTGAGTTGAATTCTTTGCTCATGGATTCTCAGTGGTTATTCTTTACTTATTAAGCATGTAAGTGTGCTCATTTCTCAGTGTAGCTGCATCCTACGCATTTGTGACAACAGTGTTTCTATAATTGCTCAGTATAAAGTGTTGTAAGATTTCACTTATTTTTCACTGACCCTGAATTATTTAGAAGTGAATTTTTTAAGTCATGCATGTTTGGGGAAGATTACCTATGCTATTCTAATATACTTGCATTGTGATTTGTGTGATAGAGACTTTCTGATTTGCTTTGTGACAATATAATATAGTCAGTGTTCATAAATACTCCATGTATCTTTGAGATTAATGTATATTTGCCTATTTAATGGAATTGAGCTTGTGTTTAGTGCTTTTCAATCTTTTCTGTTGGCTCAGTGCCCGTAGCACAATGATTACAGCATTGGCTATATACACCGAGGCTGGTGGGTTCGAACCCAGCCCGGGCCACCTTAGCAATAATGACAACTGCAACAGAAAAATAGCTGGGCGTTGTGGCGGGTGCCTGTTGTGCCAGCTACTTGGGAGGTTGAGGCAAGAGAATCTCTTAAGCCCAAGAGTTTGAGGTTGCTGTGAGCCGTGATGCTACGGCACTCTACCCAGGGCAACATAGTGAGACTCTATCTCAAAAAACAAACAAACAAAAAAAGACTTTTCTGTTGAAAACCCTGGGTGTTCACTGTTGCTTTGTGCGTATCATTCCTTCTGAGTTAAATTTGCTCTTTCTCAGTTGCATTTTTTAGATGTAACCATAAGGGTGTATTAGTGTTTATTCTGTCCATTTAAATGATAGTATATTTTGCCCTGAGTTTTAAATGGCAGTTTAGTAGGAATAAAAAAAAAAATTTGAAGTTGACAGTTATTTGAGAATATCATTCTATCTCCTCTCACTTTAGTTGTGGTGAAAAGTAAGCTGTCACCTCATTCCTTGAAACCCAACCGTGTTTTTCTTCTGGTTGCTTTTAAGAGTAATTTTGCCTCAATGAATTTAGATTTGGTTCTCATTTAACTTATTCTTCTCAAGGCCAAGTTTTTATTTCTTGAATCTAAGGGTTCATTTTTTAGATCAGCTCTGGATAATTCTCATCCCTATTCTCTTTCTCTCTGAGGATTTCCTCTACCACACTCTCTGTCTTGTTATCCTTGGAAATTCACTTGCTGGACATTTTGCTCTGACATTCATGCTGCTTAGTCTCGTATTTCCCATGTTTCAACTTTTATCTTGCATTCTGGGAAATCTCATATTTAACATCCAGTTTACTAATTCTTATTTCAGATACAGTTATCTCTTGAGACTTTTAGTTATCACTATAGTTTTCATTTCTAGAAGGGGACTTGGCTCTTTTTCTTTTTATTCATCCATCCTTCCTTTCCTTTTCCTGGACAGAGTTTCACTCTGTCACCCTGGGTATAGTGCCATGACATCATAGCCCATGGCAACCTCAAACTCCTAGGCTCAAGAGATCCTCTTGCCTAAGCCTCCTGAGTAGCTGTGACTGCAGGTGCCTGCCACAATCCCAGCTAGTTTTTCTATTTTTAGTAGAGACAGGGTCTCACTCTTATTCAGGCTGATCTCAAACTCCTGATCTCAGGCAGTCCTCCCGCCTCAGCCTCCCAGAGTTCTGGGATTACAGAATTGAGGCACCACGCCTGGCTGACTTGGCTCTTTCTCAAGCTTGATTCCTTCTTTTACATCTGTCATCATTTTAAACTTATATTCTATTCTCTATTTAAAATTCTTGGAGTTTAATCCTTGCCCACATTACATCTGCTATATTATGACAAATTATATTTTAAATTTAATATTTTGAGTTCATCCTCAATAGAGGCTTTATAGGAATATTATTGTGGGATGTGGGTTATAGCCATGTTTCCCTGGAATCAGTTCTTGTTCACTTTTGTCACATGTTCATGGCAAATTTTAAGTTAATTAAAGTTAATTCTTTGCATGTGTTCTCAGGATGTGTATATGATGCAGAGGGCAACTTAAACTTATAGTATGGTGAAATATAGGTCCACAGTCATACCGTCCAGGGCAGCTGCACTCACCACCCTAAACCCAGCTCAAGAGAGACTAATTTTCTTTTTTGATGCTACTGTTAGGCAGTTAAAATAATGTTATTTATTTATTCTGGGGAGAGGCAAGGTCTGACTCTTGAAGGATTTCCTTACTTTCTTGCAAGCTCAGAAAGAATGCTTGCTCTATTTTTATTTAGAATTTTAGGGATTCTATAGAAAAGGGATTTGGGGAAACTAAGTGTGTTGTGCTGTAAGAACCAGAAGTCCAGGGAAACCCATCTCCCTATATTGAAAGGAGATCAGATAGTCACCATTATTATTAGTGTGCAATAATTCCAATGTACTATTTATTTGCAATGAATTTGGGAATGGAAAACATTTAGGGATTACAAATCTATTAAGTTACTTCATTCTTTTAAACTATGTGGGAACTGTTCATTCTAAACTTGCACTGGGGAGTTCTTGGAAGCATGTCCATTATGGAAGCAGAGGTTATTTGTTTATTTGTCACAGCTCTTTTAGGAACAAGTAATAGAAAGTCAACTCTAATTGGCTTAAGTAAAAAAAGATATTTATAGACTCAGATAGCCAAAAAAATCCTAGGGTTTATTGCTCACTTAGAGATGGATTCATAGGCTCAAAGTGCAATTAGAGTTGGTCTCTTTTAATCTCTCGGTTCTGATTTCTTTTGGGTTGGCTTCATTGTTGTTTGGGCTCTGTCCTTATGGTGGGAAGATGTTTTCCAACAGCCATAGGTAAAGAGCACAATAGATCCTCATTAGGCCTCAGCTAGAGGACATCGTGGGACATGGCTTATCAACCTTGGCATCTGTCCATCCCTGACCAATCCATGTGGCCAGAGTGGCCAAGGAGTGATGGTCTGGCTCCTGGAATCTGATTAGCTTCATTCCAATTACAGAGGCTGAGACAGAGGAGGGTAGTTCTCTGCAAGAAAAATTGGAATGCTGTCACTAGAAGGGACAGAAGCTGAGTAAGCAAGGCACAGCAAATGTCTCACACAATCTGTCTAATTTCTTGTTTGTGTTTGCTGTTTATTTCAGGATAGTGTTGAATTTAGAAACATCTGTAGTCATTTGGCTTTACAGATTGAAGGACAGCAATTTGACAGAGACTTGAATGCTGCCCACCAGTGTTTGAAGACAATAGTCAAGAAGCTGATTCAGTCGCTTGCCAATCTTCCTTCAGACACACACATGGTGGCCTGTGCTTCCCTGAGACAGATCTTACAGAACCTTCCAGACATCTGAGTGTTAGAGATGCTGAGATTAAAACCATAGCTGGCACTGTTAAGAGAACCAAGACTTCATCTTCCTAATTCAATCAGCAGACAACGGATGTTTTTATTTCCTAAAAGGGGGGACTTAATGGCACATGGAACAGTTTGACCTATGGCATTTGTAGCCTTCTGAATTACTGCATGTTAGTGAAATTTTTTTAAAGCAGCAATCACATTTTTTAGTGTGTTGGTGAATTTGCTGACTTTTTGATTGAAACATATTCTACTCTGTGTAACTGATTTGATTATATGTGTATATATTTATCAATTCATAGTAAGTGTTAGTTTTGATTGAATGATACCTTAATCTATATTCATATTAATGTAGGCCTATAAGGTTTAATATGGCTGTTTATAGACTTAAAGCTCTGTGGTTCTCAAAATTATCTTGAATAAATGGGATATTTGATAATTGCTATGTTCTATGTACTGTACACTTCATTTTAAATTATGTGAATGAGCTCTGGTTTTAGGACCACGTATGTCAGTTATTATAAGTTCTGATTCTGACATTAATAACTTACTGTTGGGCAGGAAAAGAGTTGCTTCTAAACCTTGTCCTTTCATATAGCGGTTTGTAAATTTAAAATGATAATAAGCTAAGAAGTATCAAGGATATATGATATGTAAATACAAAGTACAATATTATTAAACTTTCACATGGAAAAATATAGTTCTTCTTGCTGTTTCTAAATATTCTGATTAAAGTAGGAAATTCTGGTGAATAACAGGAGGGAATGGGTATCCTGTCAGATTTCCCTGATCATTTTGACCATTGAAAGGTGGGAAAAGGGAGGGAGATTCTTTCTTCTCCCTCCTTCTTTTCTTCCTCTTTCTATTTTTTTTTTTTTTGCAACAATGTTAGTGTTTTTAGGAAAAACTAAATTTCTTGTTCCATGATGATGGTATTGAGAATCAATGTAACATGAAATGCTAATTTCCTTTAGAATTTTAATAGAAACAACATCACATTTAGAAAAAAAGATTACAGTGTATGTGTGCAGCTTATTTTCAAAAAGAATTATAAACTGGGTCTGTGAAGTGAGAATATAGCTACTATTTTAAGAAGTGTTTATAGTAGTTGAAGTCTTTTTAATCTCACCTACTCTAATTTTAGTTGGTTCTAAATGTTTTCTTCCAGAGTCTGAGAATAAAAGGTAAATATATTGCTTCTCTTCGATTATAAATGACCATTTCCATAGAGGAGAACTGAGCATATGAGACAGAATTCTAAAGGCAAGACCAACAGTCTGTTTGTGTATGTGTGTGTAGGGCTGAGATGCACCAAAAAGAAAGGGCATTCATTTCTTGGGAATAATCTTGGGCATTTAGTTTTCCTACTCTAGTGAACTTTGTAGTCCGGGGGCATGACTTTATTTCATGATGAAGTCTGCTATAGTTTGGAGATTTTAGCCTAAGTCTCACGTTTAATCTGAGCCCTGACATTTGTGGTGGGGACTCCTGGGTGGTGGGGAAAGATCTCTCGTGAATGGTCTGGTGTTGTCCTCAAGGTAAGGAGGGAGTCTTCTCCCTAGTGGCTCCGCCAGGAGTTCTCAGACAAGCTGGCTGTTGAAAAGGCACCTTCTCCCTCTATTGCCTTCTGCGCTGGGATCTCCACAGCTGGCTCTCCTTCACTTCCTGCCAGGGCAGGAAGCAGCCCTCACCAGAAGCAGATGCTGGTGCCTGGCTTTTTGTATAGCCTGCAGAACTGTGAGCCAAATAACCCTCTTTTCTTTATAAAGTACTCAGCCTTAGGTATTCTTTTGTATAGCAAAACAGACAAGGACTTTCTTCCCCCAGGGAAGTTATAGTTTAAAGTTTTATAGTTATAGTTAAAGTTTTTTCTTTAAATACCTACCATTATTAATAGCCTACCTGCCCTGCTAATTAGTGGTTCTCTCAATAAATATTAAGGTCTGTTTTTTCAATCTTACTATAAGAAATAATAACCATTTTTGCTTTTCTGTTTGTGCTTGTGCTTTTTCCTCACTTTTGCCCACAGACTGTTAAAATCCCACTCATCCTTCAAGGCCTGGTTTACCCTCCATCCCCTCCAGGAACCTGCCTGGGTGGTCCTACTCAAAGGTGAAATCCTCTTCTTTTTCTTATTAATGTAGGCATATAACATTTAATATGGCTGTCTATAGACTTAAAGCTTCATGGTTCTTAAAATTATCTTTTTTTTCTAAAAATATGAGGTATAGATTTTTAGGTTACATTGTTCTCACTTCCAAGGTAAAGTCCTAGTTGTAGAAGAGCCCTCCACCCAGGGGGCAGCTGAACACACTCAATTGTGCATGTTAAGTGAGATCCCACCCGTGTTCCTCCCTCTTCTCCCTTCCCTTCTCCCTCTTCTCCCTTCCCCCTTGCTAGACTATATTTGTGTTTTATCATTCATGTGGGCATGTAACTGTATATTGGTTTCATATTAGTATTGAGCACATTGAATACTTTTTTTTCATTCTTAGGATACTTTACGAAGAAGAATGTGCTTCAACTCCATCCAGGTAAACATAAAAAATAAATGTAAAGTCATAATCTTTTCTTATGGCTGAATAGGAAAAAAGTATACATATGCCACAGCAAAGTATACATATGCCGGTTTGTTAATCCATTCATGGGTTGATGGGCACTTGGGTTGCTTCCATGATTTGACAATCATGAATTGAGCTACAATAAACATTCTGGTGCAAATGTCCTTGTGACAAAATGATTTTTGTTCACCTGGGTAGCTACCTAGTAATGGGGTTGGTATAGGACAGGTTGTATGCAATGTTGTTGCTTTTATCACATAGCATCTCAGTAGCATGGCTATCAGTAAATGTGAAGAATCAATATCAGCTCACAGAGGGCAGGAGTTGGCTAGACGTCTTTGTGTACTATGTAACCTCTGTGGTTCTCAGTTCTCTACTGCTGCTAGAACTTCCATCGCTTCCAGCGCCTTTTCACTCTCCGTCTGAACTTCCCTGGCTTGGGTTCTGTGGCCAGTCTGTACAGTCATATGGTCGTCCTTGCTACACCTTCCCTTCCCTTTTTACCCCTTTGGTTGAATAATGCTTGCAACTCTCGGCCTGGACATGGTCAAGGCCAGCCCTCTGTCTGTACCTATGTTCTGAATGTGTCTGGAGAAGAACACCCAGTCACACCAATTTCACTTCATTTTATGGTTCTCAATCTCTAAGGTCCCTCAGTGTTCTCCATTACTGCAAATTCTTTTTTCTTAGACCTACAATGTCCAAGGTGGGAGCATTGGCCACATATGGCTAAGTAAATACTTGAAATGTGGCTTGTGTGAATTAAGAAGTGTTGAAATGTAAAACGCACACTGGCTTTTGAAAACTTGGCACCAAAACAAAAAGTCAAAAATACTCCAGTAATTTTTTGTAATGATTACATGTTGAAATGGTAATATTTTCAATGTGTTGGATTAAATAAATTGTATTATTATAATTAATTGTGCTTATTTTTTTTACCATTTCAATTTGGCTATTAGAAAATTCAAAAGTCCACAGATGGCTTGCATTATGTTTCTACAGGATAGAACTGTTCTAGACAATTTGCTAGACAGTTGACTGTTGGTCTCTGAAGGTTGTTCCACACCTTCTTAAGCTTCCTCCTTCTTTACCCTCCTTTATCTCTGCTGATGACCTTGCTTCTGATTGCACAGGCGCAGTGAACACCACCAGAAGAGCTGTTCATCATCTCTCCAGCACAGCTGCCAGCCCGTGTCTGTTCTCATGTGCTCCACATTCCCTTGCGTTAGGAGGACCTGCCCACTCCTCTCCAAGGCTGGTCCGCAGGGAGGCCTGGGGCCTTGTCCCGCTTGCTCTCACTCCCTTGATTGCATTGTCACTTTTCCCTCTCCTTTAAAGCATTTCATCAGCGTGATATTATGTTATACTTTCTGAAATTAAAAAAAACTCTATAATTTTATTTCTTGATCCACTTAAAGTGAAATTCATTTCAATCATTGTCTAAATTAGTTGTATGCAATTCCTTTTAAAAAAATTCCCTTTTGAACTCATTCCAAATGGATTTTGTGCCCAAATTTTACCCCATAAATGCAGTAATGTACACATTTATGATCTAATAAAATTTAAAAGAAAAAGGATCTTACCAAGACCCCTAATGACTGCTCCAGTAATCAGTTCAAATTCACAATCCTCATCTTACTTGATATATTAGCAGTTTTGACACAGTTGATTACACCCTCCTTGAATCACTTTCTTAATTTTGGTTTCCCGGTCAGCAGACTTTCATGGTTTTACTTTTCCACTGCTTTACTCCACAGATCTTTGCCCTGGTTCCTCCACATCTCCTGATTTCTGAATTTAAGAGTGCTTCAAGCCTCAGCTCTGGCCCTTCCTCTGATGACACTGACTTCGTGGTAATTTTACATACCAGTTCTTCACCAGTGTCTTTCATCCTAAAATCCAGACTCCTGTGTCCAGTTGACCACAGAATATTTCTACTCAGTTGTCTAAAGGGTATTTCAGTTTCCAAAATGGAATCCTTGGTTGCCAAGCCTACTTCTCCCTCACCTTGCATATTTCATCTGACTTTGACCTTTCTAGTTACGTAGGCAAAAATGGTTAGTGTTATCCTCTGTTGCTCCCACCTGTATCCACTCACTCAGCAAGTCCTATGGGTTTGACCTTGTGAAGGTAAGTTGGCTCATTCCTCACTGCCTCCACGCCACTGCCCAGGCACTGTTGTCCTGCCCAGGATGCTATGTTGTCTCTGAGTGGCCACTGCTCCCTGCCCTCCTGCTGTCATTGATTCTCCACATATCAGCCACAGTAACAAAAGTCAGTCAGATCATCACTTCTCTGCTCTGAGCTCACTGATGGCTTCTGTTATTACTGATGATAAAATCCAAGTTCTGCATCTTTGCCCATATCCTTCTATACTCTGATTCTACAACCCTGGTCTCTCTGATGCTCTCCCCTCCTCACACACAGCTAGGCACGGGGCCTTCGCACTTGCTCTGCTCTGCCTGAAATACTTCCCTCCCATGGTGGCAGGTCTCTGCTCCAAGGCCACCTAATTA